AATTCTGGGTGGTAGGCATTTGTTGTATCATTCCCTTTACTTTCCTATATATTTTTTTTTAAGATTTTATTTATTTATTTGACAGAGAGAGACACAGTGAGAGAGGGAACACAAGCAGAGGAAGTGAGAGAGGGAGAAGCAGGCTTCCTGCGGAGCAGGGAGCCCGATGCGGGGCTCGATCCCAGGACCCCGGGATCATGACCTGAACCGAAGGCAGACGCTTAACGACTGAGCCACCCAGGCGCCCCTACTTTCCTATATTCTTAACTTCATCACAAAAAAATTTCCTGAGATAAAAACTTGATTCTCCATCCTGAAAGATAATACACGTGCCAGGAAAAAGTGATCCAACATGGTCAAGACTGAGATGTACTCTAACGAAATAACTTTAAAATTAAAGAAAGAACCTACTAGGAGACCAGAACAAAATATAAAGCTAATTATACATAAAGGAAAATATCAAATTGGTATCAGACTTCTTCATAACACTATTCAACATTAATACTATACTACAATAAACTTTAGCAAAGAACGGCCAATTATGAACAAGGCAGAACTTGGGGGGACATTATTGGCATGAACTCTTTGTGAAGAAACTGCGAGAAGACAAACTTCAGCCAAATGAGAGATATCTAGAGAAATTTCAGCAAAAGGACCTTGTGGAAAGCACTGAATATATTTAACTATAGAACGAAGATGAAATGAAAGGTTGGGATAAATGTGACAGAAGAGCATGTAAGTATAATATGCCTTGACAATATGAAAAGTGTACAACTAACAAAATTTGGGAAGAGAAGGTGGGAGGTAAAACAAGCCTACTTACTGACTCATCTGTAATAGGTGAAAAATCAAAGGTTAATTTTTAAAGCCAACTAATCAAGTAATAGAAGGAATAAATATTGTCTACAGAAACAGAGCACTCTAATACTAGAATAAAAGAAAAACCTTCCTAGTTATTACAAAAACTATAGTAGTAAATGAACAAAATAAAAGGCTAGGGAAATAGATAAGTGAAAGTCTTTTTTAAAAACTGTAAAAACCATGATTCATTGTTATAACACCATATCAAAAACTGTATGGTGACTAACATAATAAAAAAATAAAAATAAAATGGAAAAATCTCTCTTTAAAAAAAAATAATAAAAACTGTAAAAACCAGAAAATGTCATATAAAACAATATACAGAATTAAGCCCAAACATATCAAAAATGTAATTGGACTTTCACCGATTAACTTGAAAAATGATATTCAGATTGGTTCACAGAGCAAAACTCAGTTCTATACTGCATATAAATGCCACACTTCAAAGTGATTTTTAAAGGGGTGCCTGGGTGGCTCAGTTGGTTAAGCAACTGCCTTCGGCTCAGGTCATGATCCTGGAGTCCCGGGATCGAGTCCCTGGATCGAGTCCCGCATCGGGCTCCCTGCTCAGCAGGGAGTCTGCTTCTCCCTCTGACCCTCCCCCCTCTCATGTGCTCTCTCTCTCTCTCATTCTCGCTCTCTCAAATAAATAAATAAATAAAATCTTTAAAAAAAAGTGATTTTTAAAAATTGAAAATAAAAGGATGAAGAAAGATCTTAAAAAAGCAGAAAAGGGCAAGAAACAGATTCTCCCCTAGGGCATTCACAAGTAAGGCAGGCTGCTGACATCTTGATTTTAGTCCTATAAGACCCATTTTTCAACTGTTGACCTCTAGAGCTATAAGATGATAAATTCATGTTATTTTCAGCCAGTAAATTTGTGGGAATTTGTTACAGCAGCAATAAAAATCTAATATAGAAAGCAGTCTGCTACAACCTTTATGGAAGGGAATTTGACAATTCCTATCAAAACTACATATGCAATCCTACTTACTTACTTACTCAGCAATCCTACATCCAAGAATCTATCCTGAAAATACAGCCTTGACAATATGAAAAAACATACATACAAGGTTATTTACTGAAGCACTGGTCCTAATTGTAAAATAGTGCAAACATCCTAAAAGTCCACATGTCAAAGAGTACTTGAATAAATTACCATAACATCCAGATAATGGAGTATTTTGCAGCTGTTAAAAAAATGAGGAAGATCTCCATGACTAATATGGAGTGTATTTATAGTTAAGTGAAAAAAGCAAAATGCAAAGGGCATCTATGGTATGCTATCCTTTATGTAGCATACAAAGAGATACAAGAAACTACATATATGTTGACTCATTTGTACAAAAGAAACATAAAAAGGACAAACCTGAAAATAAAGAGATTGGTAATCTATAAGAAGTGGGTAAGAAAGGGGTAGGAATAAATTAGGGAACAGAAATAGGATAGCGGGGATGAGGAGACACTAACACATTTCTGAGGATATTTTCCTATAGCTCTGATTCTTAAAAGCATAGTAATGTTTCAGATACAGAAATAAATAAATAATTAAAACCAACCAAGATGTGGTAGGAACCCAAAATAGAATACAAATAGTAACAAATGAACCTAAAAGAGCTAACCTAGGCAACTTTGGAAAATAGTATTTTGACTGAATCTGTAAGACTAAAGACAAAAAGAACCATATACAAATAATGTAATCTAGTTAATAAATTTGTTTCTCACAGAGGAATAGCTTGGAAATTCTGAAGCTACTTAATGTGTATACTAATGAGCAAATAAGTAAATACATTGTTCCTCATTGTCAGAAAAAGAAATTATGGATAAGTAAAGGAGAAAGGCTAAAATAAACCCTGTGGAGTAGGACTAGAATCAAGATATCAAAATAAACTGATAATTTTAATATATAAAAAGACAGGGGCGCCTGGGTGGCTCAGTTGGTTAAGCGACTGCCTTTGGCTCAGGTCATGATCCTGGAGTCCCTGGATCGAGTCCCGCATCGGGCTCCCTGCTCAGCGGGGAGTCTGCTTCTCCCTCTGACCCTCCTCCCTCTCGTGCTCTCTGTCTCTCATTCTCTCTGTCTCAAATAAATAAATAAATAATCTTAAAATAAATAAATAAATAAATAAATAAATAAAATTAAAAAAAAATAAAAAGACAGAGGCAGGGGCACCTGGGTGGCTCAGTCAGGTTAAGCGTCTGCCTTCAGCTCAGGTCATGATCCCAGGATCCTGGGATCGAGCCCCACATCAGGCTCCCTGCTTGGCAGGGGGCCTGCTCCCTCTCTCCCTCTGCTATTCCCCCTGCTTGTGCTCTCTCACTCTCTCTGTCAAATAAAATCTTTAAAAAAAAAAAAAAAAAGACAGAGGCAGAAACAAATATAGAAATGTGTATACCCGTGTGTATTGGTATACACACATATATTTTCCAGTTCAATCTGCTGTGAGGGCCTAGGAACAATGACATCCCAGTAGCAATGAGCACACATAGCACCCAGACCTTGGTTTCTAAACATCATTTCCCAATAAAAGGAACCAGAGCTCCTAGGAGAAACAGTTGATTCAAGGCTAGGGCAAGGAAAACAAGATGAACCCAGAATACCAGGAACCAGGAAGAAAAGAAGTGCTCAAAAATGGATGGGGGCATGTTAAAAAGTCAAAGAAACCAACTGGAAGGAGATCCCAATGGGAAAAGCAGAAGAACTTGAGCAAAAAATGATTCATTGGATCTACCTCAGCCAGGAAAAATTAAAATCCATGATTTATAAAAAGATAATTGAATATATAAATAAATAGAGAAGGAACAGCTCTTCTCTATAGGACAATCCTAATTAATATACATAAAGAAAGAAGGGAAATGGAAAAATCAATATTAGGCCAACATCACATTAATAACTGTTGCAGACAAGACCCACTGGGCCAATGGATGCTAAAATTAGTAGGCAAAAGTTTCAGAAGAAACTGAATAGTCTCAAAGTATCTCCCCAAAGATATTTATTAATTACAAACAGAAAAATAATAACTTTACAATGGAGAAATCAGGCAGACACCACCTTTACCAAGGGATCAAAATTATCATCCATAGTAAGACTTATCAATATTATGACTCCTCTGGTATGTTGCACTGAGAGGAACATAACGTTATTTCTGTGGCACTCTTTCCAAAAATGCATTACTTCCATCTAATCATGACAAAACAGCAGATAAACCCAAATAGGGTGCAAGCAGATGTAATGAGCCATTTATCCAGAGTGAAGCATATCTGAAGACTCTGGGAGAGATTTCTCCAAGACAATAAAATCAACAGATTACCTTAATGTGTCTGAGTATCTTAAGAGATTTAGACAACTGATGGGGAGTTGGGAATTGAGTTAGGAATATGTATATAGAAAACTAAAGAAAAAAACAAATAACCCCCCAAATTATTAACCCCAGGAAAAATAAAAAATCACATAGAAAAAGCAATCTTGGTATATACACAGCACGGCTGTGACTAGCACTTAATAGCCATAATACTGTAAACACTGAACAGTGATTCAATCAAAATTATGATAGGCAGATGGGAAGAGTGTGTGGGTACATGTGCGCACCTACACACACATATTTTATTCAGGGTAAGAAAGTACTAAATTCTTATTTTTTTAAAAAGATATTGGATGAGGACTAAACCTGGAAAAACAATTAAGAAATAGCAACATATATATTTGTTAAAGAAATGAAGGAAACATCAAAAAAAAAAGACTGCAAAAGCAAAGAAAGTCAATCCTTCTAAGGAGAGGGAAATTGAGGAGGAGGACAAGAGACTGCCTTTTTTAAGGGAATAAGCCTTGTAAAACTACCTGATTCTTTAAACAATGTGCATGCATAAGTTTGACAACTTTGATAAAAATAAAAACTCTAAAATTTAATCTGGAAATGTATATATTTCTGACCCTAAAAGGGAAAGAAGAGCTGGGAAGGACTGAGATTCAGGTTATATGCAGAAGAATCACAAGTGTGTAATTTGATAACAATAGGGAGAAACCCACCCCCGCCAAGCCCAGGGCAGCCTCCTCAAGTGCAGGGCAGCCTTCTCATGACCTCTTGGCCTTGGCCTGACACCCTACAACAGCCCCCCTTGCCCAGTTCCCTGTCACTCACCAGCACACTGACCATCTGACATCTCTTTCTCCACCATCCAAGGCTCCTTCCCTTGCTCCAATAAGGAGATCATGTTGGGCTTAGAAATGGAGAGTCCTGTTTACAGGAGAAGAAAAATGAGAGCAAGAAAGAGACAAACAGGGAGACAATCAACTTGCTATAGCCTTTCTAGGACTCAATCTCAATGTCTTGTTCATTAGGCAAGAAAAGAAATTAGAGGAACGGCCAGAGAATGGAATGATGCTTGTATGAAGGATGAAGATGAAGCTTCTTCCATAGCAGTGGTTCTCAAAGTGCTAGAGCAGAAGCACCACCACCTAGGATCTTATGAGAAATGCAAAGTCTTAGGCCTCAACCCAGACCTACTGAATCAGAAACCACAGTGGTTCTCAAACTTTAATAGGCATCAGAATCATTTGGAGGGCTCATTAAAACCCAGACTACTGGGCCTATTTCCTGAGTTTCTGATTCTGTAGGTCTAGAGTGGGACCCCATAATTTGCAATTTAACAAATTCCTACCTCATTCTACAGCAATGGGAACTACTAATTTCTAACTCTTTGAAACTACTTCAAATTATTTCCTGGGAGCAGGAAGTAGAAATTCAGCTAAAGCACTTAAGTAATGACCTAGATATTCCCAATGGAGGAAACAAAAATACCCCAGAGGGAAGATTCTGAATTATGGGGGAGACATCCTTACCAAGCCATACCAAGTTCCTGTAGTTCTCCAACATGACATCTCTGTATAAATCCTTCTGAGACGGGTCCAGCCATTCCCATTCCTCTTGGGAAAAATCTAGAGCCACATCTCTGAAGGTCACCAGACCCTGAAATTAAAAAAAAAAAAAAAAAAGATCTCGTTTGCCAAGTGCTCCCATATGGTTCTAGCAGAAAAGATGAAATTCTGCCAGAGTTCAAAGCTCTACGTGGTCCAAGGAAAATAACTATTGGGGAGCAAGTACATGCCCAGGTTTGTCAAATATTTTGAGAGAAAGAGAAATATTAGAAACAGACTCACCCCTTGAAAATTTCACATTTTTGTGAATAAAAAAAGACATATATACGGGAAAAAAATTAGCTTATGACATGAAACATGAGTTCATAACATGAAAGTATGTGAGCAAGGCTATTTTATATTACATATACTATGTACCAATAAATTCTCATAGGGATGATTCCATTATACTCCCCAAACTGAGATATCGGATGCGTCAGAGTAGTGAGGGAAGGCCTTGAATTGGGCTTTAACAAAAGGGTATGGTCTGAAACTTAGACTTTATATATAAGGAGAAACTTGCCCAAATGTGTCCTGAAGAAATAATGAAGTATATGTGAAGTGATTTAGATAGAATTTTCACTGGAAGATTATGAAAAATCTGGAAAAAAACTTTAATGTCAAAAAATAAGTTTAGGGGCACCTGGGTGGCACAATGGGTTGAACATCCAACTCTTGATTTCGGTTCAGGTCATGATCTCAGGGTCATGGGATCAAGCCCCACATAGGGCTCCACACTCAGAGGGGAGTCTGCTACTCTCCCTCTCCTTGCTCATGCTCTCTCTCTTTCTAAAATAAATAAAATAAAATCTTTTTAAAAATAAAGGGGCGCCTGGGTGGTTCAGTCAGTTAAGCGTCTGCCTTCAGCCCAGTTCATGATCCCAGGGTCCTGGAATCGAGCCCCACTCCCTGCTGAGCAGGGAGCCTGCTTTTCCCTCTCCCTCTGCCTGCCGCTCCTGCTTGTGTGCTCTCTCCCTCTCGCTCTCTGTCAAATAAATACATAAAATATTTTTAATAAATAAATAAAATAAAATAAAATAAAATAAAAACAGTTTAGCCTACACCACTGGACTATAAGCTGTATGAGGGGAAGGATATCTGTTTTACAAGCTCACAAATATCTGGTGTCTATATAAAACCTGTCACATTGTAAACAGTAAATATTTGCCACTCATTGAATAAATGGTAAACTTTCCTGTAATATATCCATAGGAAGGAAGAGTACTCAATGCTTAAAATAGCAGAATTCCATTTTGCAGATTATGGTCTCATTTTTTTATTAAAAATCATGAAATATCTATCAGCACAGAGAACAGATCTAGTGCCAAAATCTCAGATGCCAGCCAAAAGCCAACTTGCAAGTGGATTCTTCTAAACACAGTATCTTCAGGCCTGCTATGTTAACTCTTTTTTGAGAATTGGTCTATTTAGTTTTCTACTTTTTGAGCTAGTTCTTATATTTTATATTTACCTAGGAAATCTCTTTTGCTTGTGCTTTCAAATTAAAAGTATATAGCTGGGGGCGCCTGGGTGGCTCAGTCGTTAAGCGTCTGCCTTCGGCTCAGGTCATGATCCCAGGGTCCTGGGATCGAGCCCCGCATCGGGCTCCTTGCTCCATGGGAGGCCTGCTTCTCCCTCTCCCACTCCCCCTGCTTGTGTTCCCTCTCTCGCTGTCTCTCTCTCTCTGTCAAATAAATAAATAAAATCTTTAAAAAAAAAAAAAAGTATATAGCTGTTTGTCAAATTGAAAAAAAAAAGACAAATATGGTTATTCTACATAGCAGAAATACGGATGAATGTGGCTAAAGAAAAAAACCTCACACAGCTACATACTGTTATTTAACTCCCATGTGCCTCTCTACACTTCTCTGTGTCCTGGGACGCTGACCTCTATTGACCGCATTAATAGACTCCCTTACCTGACCCCATTTTCAGTTGGGTTCAGCCACATGCAGGAGATGGGAGGGAGGCAAGTGAAGCACAATATTTACTCCCCTGGCACCCTCCTTGCAGCACTACCCTGTGTGGTGTCTGTCCTTCGATCATAGGTCACAATGCCTGTCAGAGGCCCTCCCCACTCAGATCTCTCTATCCCTGGGTTCAGGTCTAAGTTTTACTATTATAAGTCCCAGGGTATAGCACTATCCTTTACAGTTCTCTATATACTGATTCATAACTTGGAAACAGTTCCCTTTTGAGTTTCTTGCCAGAACCCTAACTGATAAAACACGTTGATCCAATGTACTTCTAGGATATGACCAGAGATTCCACAAAAGCACCACTACACTTCCCTAATAAATCCACTTTCCCGTTCTCCCATGACTATTTCATAGATTCTGCCTCTCTCTCAAAATACCATCAATTCCTTCCCTGTTCCCACTTTGAACTTCCTCATCTTGCTCACCACAGGTCCTTGCTGAACTGTATCTATATTCATATATTCTGTCTTCCCTCTGTTACTATGCATGAAACTCTAGGCTCCTATCTATGGCCATTCCCTCCACTTGTCCACACAAGGACATTGTCACCTCTCTCCCTTGTAATTTTCAGGGAAATAGCAGATATCTCTCTTGTATTATCAGTATTTTCTCACTTTCCTAAATTATTTCTATCAGTATACAAACTGATGTAATATCTTTCATCTTATAAATAGACAGATAAATTCCCTTCCATAAGCTCACTGTAGTTATTGTCCTATTTCTCTACTCCTCTTAAAAACAAAATTCTTCCAGGGGCGCCTGGGTGGCTCAGTCGTTAAGCGTCTGCCTTCGGCTCAGGTCAAGATCCCAGGGTGCTGGGATTGAGCCCCACATTGGGCTCCCTGCTCCACGGGAAGCCTGCTTCTCCCTCTCCCTCTCCCACTCCCCCTGCTTGTGTTCCCTCTTGTGTCTCTGTCAAATAAATAAATAAAATCTTAAAAAAAAAAAAAATTCTTCCAAAGAGTTGTTTAAATCAGCAATGTCCAATAGAAAAACAATGTAAACCTCATATTAAGATTTTTCAGTAGCTACATTAAAAAAGTAAATAGATTTAATGATGAAAACAAAATAAGAATAACTGCTATATTTATTGACGAATTACTACATGCCAGACACCCTAATGAGCATTTTATTGATATTATCTTAATCTCATTGTAAAACTTGTTAAAAAAAAAGTATGAAACCCATTTTACAGATGTTTAAGACCAAATGTCATGCTGAATCACTAGGTTATATTGCAAAAAGAAAAAGAAAGTAAGCAGGAATAAGTAAATTTAGGGGCGCCTGCCTGGGTGGCTCAGTCAGTTAAGTGTCTGCCTTTGGCTCAGGTCATAATCCCAGTATCCTGGGATCAGGCCCCAAGTCAGGCTCCCTGCTCTGCAAGGGGTCTGCTTCTCCCTCTCCCTGCTCTTGTGCTCTTGCTCTCTCTAAATAAATAAATAAATAAAATCTTAAAAAAAAAGGAAGCAAATTTAATATATTTAATCCATTATATCTAAAATGTTATTTCAACGTGTACTCATTATAAAAATTATTAATGAGATGCTTTACATTCTTTTTTGTACTGAATCTTTAAAATCTGGTATATATTTTATATTTATAGCATGTCTTAATTCACAGCAGTCTTATGTGGCTACTGGGTACATTATTGGACAGCACAGCTCTAAACTCATCTCTATTCTTATCTTTTAGGCCCACTATTCCCTTGTGTCCCCACTGCAATGCTTTCATACCAACCATTCTATCAAGTAGCTTTTGTCAAGAATATCAGTAGCTTCCATGTTACCAAATCCAACGATCATTTCTCAGTCTTCATCTTCCTCACTCTCTCTCAGAAGAATTTAATTCAGTTGATCATACCCTCTATGAAACACTTTGTACTCCTGACTTCTAGGACCCATACTCTTCTGGTTTTCCTTCTACATCAGTCCTTCTCGGTCTCTTTTGCTGGTTCCTCCTCTTCTTCTCAGCCTCTAGATATTGAATCCTCAAAACTCAGTCCTTGGGCATCCTTCCTATCTACACTCACAATCCTACCCTCCAGATAATCCTATCCTGTCCTATAGCTTTAAATACACTAATGATTCTCAAATGCATACCTCCAATCCTGACTCCAGGTATCTAATCACTATTGCACTTGGATATCCAACAGGTCTCTCAAACTTAATAGATCAAGAACTCAATTTTTCTTCCCATCTCATCATTCTGCCCTGTCTTTCCATCTCAGTAAATGGTAAGGTCATTTGTACAGTTGCCCAGGTCAAAAATCTTTGTTGTTATCCTTGACTTTCTTTCTCTCACACTCCACAACCAGTCCCTGGCCAAATCCCATATTTTCTATCTTCAACATATACCCCAGATCCCCCCAGCTCCAATGCCACCACCACGGCCCAGGCAGCTACCACCTTCCACCTGGATTACTGTAGTAGTCTCCCGACTGATCTCCCTGCTCCACCCTTACTTCCTTTCTATTTTCCTTTTAAAATAGAAATCACATTAAATCACAAACACTCCAATGACTCTCCTTCACCCTCAGAACAAAACTGAAAGTTCTGGCCATGAGTTTCAAGGGCCCACATAACTTGTTCCCCAGCTACTCCTCTGATCTCATAGTGCTCATTTCCCTCTAAGGATCCTGGCTCAGCGATATTCCTAGAATACGTCAGACATCTTCCCACCACAGCAACCTCATATTTGCTATTCCTCCTCCCTTTTTTTTTTTTTTTTAAGATTTTATTTATTTATTTGAGAGAGAGAGAATGAGAGACAGAGAGCATGAGAGGGAGGAGGGTCAGAGGGAGAAGCAGACTCCCTGCCGAGCAGGAAGCCCGATGCGGGACTCGATTGCAGGACTCCAGGATCATGACCTGAGCCGAAGGCAGTCACTTAACCAACTGAGCCACCCAGGCGCCCCTTCCTCCCTTTTTTTTAAAGATTTTATTTATTTACCTATTTGACAGAGGGAGCGCAAGCAGGGGGAAAGGCAGAGGGAGATGGAGAGGGAGAAGCAGGCTCCCCGCTGAGCAGAGAGCCCGATGTGGCACTCAATCCCAGGACCCTGGGATCATGACCTGAGCCGAAGGCAGACGCTTAACGACTGAGCCACCCAGGTGCCCCCTTTTTTTGGCTTTAATAACCCCCTACTTTCACTGAGGCTTTTCTTAGCTTAAATGTCACTTCCTCAGAGAGGCCATCCTGGACCCCCCTATTTAATAGGGCACTCAGTAATCACACCTCTGTCCTTTATTTCATTTGCACTGATCTCCAGCATAACAAATCATGATCCATCTAAAGAGGATAGTTCTTTTCCATCACATATTTCAGCACAGCACTGAGTAAAAAAGATAGTAAATGATTTGTAGAGAGATCATATGAAGTAGTTAAGGGAGAGAAGTGGTGAGAGTGCTCACTGGGCTATTTCTGACTCTCTGAGGTCCCAGAGTCCCTAAAAATGAGGTGGAATTTCTGGAAACAAAGTGAAAACATCAACTTACCTGGGACATGGCTTTACAAAGTCCAACAGCCATTCTTCCTTCCTTCTTCAATCTTCTCTTTTGGAGAACAAGGTCCTGAGAAGGGAGAATTAAAGGGAAAAAAAATGGCAGACCAGCCCTATGTTGCTGACCTGAGATTCACAAAGATAGAACTCTTGTCCCTTTAAGGTCTCCACAGCCTCCTTACATGGGCCAGCCCTATCCTCTTCCAAGATCTGAGAAAAAGGCCAGAGTTGAATTTAACCCCTGAAGTCCTGACTGATATTAAGAACATGTAGCCTAGGGCACCTGAGTGGCTCAGTCTGTTGAGTGGTTGAGCGTCTGCCTTTGGCTCAGGTCATGATCCCAGGGTCCTGGGATTGAGTCCCGCATCAGGCTCCCTGCTCAGCGGGGAGCCTGCTTCTCCCTCTCCCACTCCCCCTGCTTGTGTTCCCTCTCTCACTGTGTCTCTCTCTGTCAAATAAATAAATAAAATCTTTAAAAAAACCATGTAGCCTAAACTCAACAAAATCTAAATGGCCAACAAGCTGGTTTATGATCTGCCACCTGGCTGCCCCTTAGATTTCATTTCCTACCCTCATCCCCCTTGGCTCACCCTACTCCAGGCACAGGGGTTTTCTTACAGTTCCTCAAACACAGCATACTCCTTCTTCAAGGCTGTTGCCTTTGCTTTTCCTTCTTCCTGGACATGGCTCACTCCCTCTTCATTCCTGTTTGTGCTCAGTTGTCACCACATCAGAGGAACTTTCCTGAAAATTCTATCTAAAGAGAACCTCCCTTCTCTTTTCCCTTATGCTGATTTTTCTTCTTAGCATCTGACACCATTGGACATGTTTTTTTTCTCTTTATTGTTGTCTCCCCAAACAATAGTGTAGGATCTAATAGAACTAGGATTCATTTGGTTCATTGGTGTATCTCTGGTGTTAGAATAATGCCAGAATCTTTGCAGGGGCTCAAAAAATATTTGTTAAATGAATAAATAAATCTTGCTGTGCCTCCTGTAATATAAATGGCAATGTTACACATATTGTATATGTCATTATCGTACTTAATCTTCACAAAACTGCAAAGATAAGTATTATTATCCCCATTTTACCAACAAGTAAAACTGAGGTTCAAAAAGCTTAAACAACTAACTCAGTCATTAAGAGTTAAAACCGTGGGGCGCCTGGGTGGCTCAGTTGGTTGTGCGACTGCCTTCGGCTCAGGTCATGATCCTGGAGTCCCGGGATCGAGTCCCGCATCGGGCTCCCTGCTCGGCAGGGAGTCTGCTTTTCCCTCTGACCCTCCCCCCTCTCATGTGCTCTCTCTCTCATTCTCTCTGTCTCAAATAAATAAATAAAATCTTTAAAAAAAAAAAAAAGAGTTAAAACTGCAATGAGACTCAAAAACTGGTCCTCTTTCAAGAGCCTACAATGTCTGAATGAAATATGTAACATAACCTGGGGAATCAATGCTATATATTTACTAGAGAAGCATCTTCAGAGCTGGCAGATATTACCTTTATTACTTCACGGGAATACAGCTTGAGGCAGGCATTGCTCATTTTTAATACAAACCAATAACAAATTGCACAGTCCCCTCAGAGCCAACATTTCTTCATTCTGAAAGTGAGCATAGTTGTGTTTGACCTAGAATTTAGGATACATGACCCCCTAATTCTGGGCTACTCTGCACTAGCCAACTCACTGTTTCAGGAATTTATTTCATTAGCGCAATGCAGCTTCAAATTGTCCATAAAAGCCTTTGCAACCTGAGAGAAGAATCAGTGAAGTATTCTCTGCAACTGGGAACCCTATGTAGCATCTGCATAAAAGAAATGTCTTTTAAATTTCTGTTTGCAAATAGCTGTGTATCACTTGGGTAATGTTTTCCAAGTTTGAGATGAACATCAGTCTCTGAAAGAAGCTGATTTTAAAGACTTGGGTTTTATATAACCCCTAGGCACATGCTAACTCTCCACTCCTTCACTTACTGGCTACATGACCTTGGGCAAGATACTCCATCTCTCAGAACATTTCTTTCCTCACTGTCAAGACTGCATGAGCCAATTCCTGGCATAGAGAAGTGCTACCCTTGTTCCTGCCTACATTTTATACACACATTTGCAAAGGAAATGAGAACATTTTGCTTTATTAACTGAGAAAGTCAGAACCAAAATTTAGCTCACTTGGTACATAAGAAAAAGAGCCATGGATCAGCCTCTCTGAGCACCAAACATGGAAGAGTTCTGACAAAGACAAAGCTAAAATCTCAAAGTCCATGGTCTAAGGAGAGAAAGACTGGGTTTCAGGTTGAGCTTTCCTCCCCCAGAGGCAGTCAATTTGAGGATGGTCTCACTACAGTGTCTTTAGACTGGGTCCTGTGACTCACAAGGAAGAGACCCACATCAAGATCCCATATCCTAGAGGTTCCTAGTCCAAGATCATGGACAATCCTCTCCAAAACCCTTAGAACTCAGGGCCCCCATTTTTCATTCTCACAATATGGGAAAGATCAAGAGAGTTTAGTGATTAAAAGCAAGGACTCTCAGGGCACCTGGGTGGCTCAGATGGTTCAGCATCTGCCTTCGGCTCAGGTCATGATCCCAGGGTCCTGGGATCGAGTCCCGCATCAGGCTCCCTGCTAGGCGGGGAGCCTGCTTCTCCCTCTGCCTCTGCCTCTCTCTCTCTCTCATGAATAAATAAATAAAACATTTAAAAATAAATAAATAAATAAAAGCAAGGACTCTGGAGCCAAAATGCCTAGGTTCGAGACTCCGTTCCATTAATTAACTGTCTGAACTTGGGCAAGTAATTTTAATCTTTCTGTGCCCACAACCACACACTAGGTCCCACACAATCAAGCTTTCCATCTCACAAACTCATACAAATTTTCACCCAGTCACACACATACACTATCCATGGTTACACAAGCTCATATGTAATGTCAAATACCTATGTAGTGGCATTAACGCAAAGATAAATGACACACAATTACTGAGAGAGACAGTCCCACGCAATCTCACACACAGTGACATACCACACAAGGTCACACATCCTGTCATCATTACTCATACAAATTTATACCTGCAGAGAGAAGATGGACACAGGTACGTAATCACACCTGCTGTCACACACAAACACTGTTATATCCACAGAGACAAGTGGTCAAACATAATCACACACATTCATACTGCGACACACACAATGTCTCTCACAAACCCATATACAGTAACACACAGTTATACCTGCAGAGACACACACACAGTTTTGCACCTGAAACATACAGTCGCGCATAAGCACACACGCGGTGACAGACAAGATCACATTCTGTCACAGCACGGCCTCTCACATAGTTAGTTCGACAGTAACCCCAGAGGCACCCACCCCGGTCCCACCCCAGTCCCTGCCGGTCCGCCCGAAGCCCAGTCCTGACCTCCGGCTCCCGCGCGCAGCCAGGCCCAACTCACCTCCCGCCGCCGCCGCGGGCTCTGGAAACCCGCCCAGCGACCCGAGAACCGCGACGTCCCCTCCCAGAGTCCCCCGCGGGGTGAAGCTGAGCAGGGACTGAGGCGCGCGGGACCTCGAACTCGGCTGGGGAAACATCCAGCTGGACTGGACGCGGCTGTTTTTCCTTCCGACCCCGCGAACCACGAGTCCCAGAACGCTTTGCGCCGCGGCCTTCTTTGCTGAACTACATTTCCCAGAGGATCCCCAAGGCCCGCCTCTACGCCGCGCCTGCGCAGGCGTCCGCGGCTGAGGGTGTCTGAGAGCTGTGTGCCGCCCTAGTAGAGCTCGGGCGCTCAAGTGCCGGTGGCCGCCTGTGTGTGAGGAAACCGTGAAGCTCCGCGCGTCCGTGACTGTTATTGAATGCTCAGGTGTGGCGATCTGTGTGTGACCGTCGCTGCACACTTTTATGACTGCGCACCACGGAGCAAAGGTTTCTGTCAGTGCAGGGAGCTTCTGTATTTAAAATCACGTCCCGTGATTGTGGGTCGTCGTGTGACGCCTAGAATGTGAGAGTGTTTGTGGATTTGTGAGAGGGACTGTGGCTGACTTTGGGCGACGATTTCTTTGTGTTCTTACCCCAGAGATCGAAGGAGTTTACCTGTGACACGCGGTGGGGCTTTGTTTGTTTCTGGGCCTGCCTTTAGTGTGGAGCGGGTGGGAGAGGTTTCTTTGTGTGCCTTTGTGTGTGACTGACTCCAGATTAACTGTTCTCCCACGCCTATGCCATCCCTCAGCCCCGGCCACGGGCCGGGTCACTGTTACCTTCGTTTTTATATCCTTTCTCTACTTAGACCTACTGTGATATCACAGAAGGGTAATTAGATTCCGTTTGTTAGGAAGACGCTCATTGCACCAGAGCCCTTTACAATGTGATAACCGGAGCCCCGGGGGTTCTCTTGGTGATGCTTCCACCTTTTCGCCTTACAACTTCAGTTAGGGCCCAGCTTCAAGAAAACTATCAGTCAGGAGGACAAGAATGTGAGCTCCTGAGTGATGTTAAAGAAAGCCACAGCTGAATGGTAGTTAAAGAGGTGTTTTTTGTTTTTTGGGTTTTTTTAAAAGATTTTATTCAGGAACAACTGCAGTAGGGGAGAAGAAACTTCAACATAGAACTGGGCTCAGTTCCAATACAGCAAGAACAAGTAGGGTTTAAAATGTGCAAAGAGCAAGTTGGGGCAGGGCAGTCAGTGGATGGAAAATTAAGGGGAGACATCAAGGGTAGGGGGAAATTCTTGCTAAACTGACCAACAGAATTCTTGCTGAGGGCAGTCCAGGGTGATCAGATAACGCCTGGATGGATGAGGAGTTTAATTAGACTGGAAGAGTAGTCAGATATCAAGGGCTCTGGCTAAACTGAGTTGACAGAATTCTTACTAAAACCAGGTAATGCAAAGAGAAACACTGAAACCCAAAGGTTGAAGCCTCATAGTTGAGAAGAGGGTCCAGAGGAGCCTAACTAAAATTTGATCAAGGAGAAAGTATTTGACAGTTAAAATTCTGAACAAAGCAACATTCATCCGCATCCCCAGACCCTGGAAGATCTGGAAGGTGTACTGAAGTCAAGAGCTTGGTAAGTAGGGGTATGTGGAAACAAGGGGGAAGTTCTTGAAATGAGAACCGATCTTCGGAGAATAATCCCTCCAATCCCCCCCCCCCCCCCCCACAGACCTCTAATAGCTAAAGCCAGAGAGTCTTGAACAAAAGGAGTCTGGCTAATAGGGCTGAAGTGATTTGCTGTTTATTCTGTGAAATTGGGCACTGTTACTTACAGAATAAGGCAAGCACTTTTTTTTTTTTAAGACTCTACAAACATTTAATAGTTGCTTTGCTTTAATGGGGAAATGTACTAGGTAAGTATTCTTTGGATGATAATTGTGGTTTGCTACTTGACCAGTACATTGAACAGCTCTTCCCTGGTTTTGATTATCAATGCAGGTTAGAGATCATCTTGGGACATTTCATACTAAAGTGCTGTTACACTCCCTTCTTGACTGGCACAGTATACCTTCAGAGAAACTTTGAATGTGTATGACTATCTCTTCATATGTCAGTAATTGATCATAGGAAGACTTTTTGTCCTTTATTTATTTTTCTTATCTCATACCACCAAGTCCAACACTGGTTTGAGTCTAATCATCTCCAGCAGAGCAGGTAAGTAGTACTCAAAGTATGTCAACCAAATTAGTGGTTGCAATGCTAAAACAAATTGTGGTAGGACTATGTCCATCAAGATATAATCAAAAAAGCAGAACTACACTGGTAATTTCAAACAGGATATTTAATTACAGGAAATTGATTATGCAATGTTGAATGACTGAAAGAGCAAAAAGGGGACAGATTTGTAACTTAAGAAACAGCTAACACCATAGAGTTTGGGGAACAAAGGGAAAGGGATGGATTTACCAGAACCTAAGAGCTCTGAAGAGGAATCTCAGCCTGGCCGTTAATGGGGTTTAGTAGTCTGGTGCTGGGAAAGCAAAAAGAATTTGCAGGCAAGCTATAGCCCTCTTCTGCTGCTAGAGATACTGAAAGAACCGGAAAATAGGAAATGAGTTCCTTCTCCCTTTCTGCCTTCCAATCTCCCTTTAATGCCTCCACTGGCAAACTATAACAGTAGCAAGGGAGACTGGGATATGTCTTTGTCAGAGTTCCAGCTCCAGTATCACAGAATAGAGAAAGGCATGTTTGAAGCTGAAATGATGACAGGGAAATGATTAGCATATGATCATTTTTCAATTTGCTGGAAAATAAATTAATTCATATAATTTTCCAAGTTTATTTTTCTTCTCAGAAACTTGTCTTAACAATGTTACTAATTCCTTATAAAAGAATCCTATTAGATGACAAAAAATGGTGCATATTTAGTAACAATGCATCTTAATAACAAAGCAATTCAAATTCTGAAATAGCTCTTGTCTAGTTTAATATGTAGTTATTTGGATGAACTCATGTTTTAACCTATTTTGTTGTAATTTTGATAAAAATATAGATTTACATGTTTTCTAACTTTGTGTTATTTAATATAAATATTTCATGGTGAACCACTAATCACACCCATGACTTAACAGTTCTCAATATCCTGGGGCGCCTGGGTGGCTCAATCAGTTAAGCGTCTGCCTTTGGCTCAGGTCATGATCCTGGGGTCCTGGGATTGAGGCCTTCAACAGGCTCCCTGCTCAGCGGGGTGTCTGCTTCTCCCTCTCCCTAAGCCCCTCCTCCTGCTTGTGCTCTATCTCTCTCTCTCAAATAAATTAAAAACAAAACAAAACAAAAAACAGTTCTCAATATCCTAACAAGTGTGAGAATCACAGTATGTGATTTTTTTAAAATAAACTGTTAGCTATATTAGTCATCTCTTTTTTAATTGAAATGTAACTGACATACAGTATACTATTTTCAGGTGTACAACATAATGATTCAATACCTGTATATATTGTGAAATGATCACCACAGTAAGTCTAGTTATCATCCATCACTATACATAGTTACAAAACTTTTTCTTGTGATAGAACTTTTAACTCTTAGCAACTTTCAAATATGCAATATAGTTGTTTTTTTTTTTTTAATTTTTTTTTTTTATTTGAGACAGAGAGAATGAGCGACAGAGAGCATGAGAGGGAGGAGGGTCAGAGGGAGAAGCAGACTCCCTGCCGAGCAGGGAGCCCGATGCGGGACTCGATCCCGGGACTCCAGGATCATGACCTGAGCCGAAGGCAGTCGCTTAACCAACTGAGCCACCCAGGTGCCCGCAATATAGTTTTATTAACTATAGTCACTATGCTGTACATTACCTCCCCATGATTTATTTATTTTATAATTGGAAGTTTGTACCTTTTGACCCCCTTCACCCATTTCACCTTCACCCCTACCCCATCTCTGGCAACCACCAATCTGTTCTGTATCTTTGATGTGGTTTTTTTTAACTTTTTAATTTTTAAGAAAAATTTTTTCATAGTAAGCCCAATGTGGGGCTTGAACTCATGACCCCAAGCATCACATGCTCTACTGACTGAGCCAGGTAGGTGCCCCTCTTTGGTGTGGTTTTGTTTTTGTTTTTTTTTTTAGTTTCTTCTTATTTGAAGGCAGCCATTATGAATTGAGAATAAAATAAAATTGAGGGGATGCATGGGTGGCTCAGTCAGTTGAGTCCGACTCTTGGTTTTGGCTCAGATCATGATCTCAAAGTCATGGGATTGAGCCCCACTTTGGGCTCTGTGCTCAGTTCAGAGTCGGCTTGATTCTCTCCCTTTCCCTCTGCCCCTCCCCCCACTTGTGTGCTCACTCTCTCTAAAATAAATAAAATCTTTAAAAATAAATAAAATTGGGGCGCCTGGGTGGCTCAGTTGGTTAAGCGACTGTCTTCGGCTCAGGTCATGATCCTGGAGTCCCTGGATCGAGTCCCGCATCAGGCTCCCTGCTGAGCAGGGAGTCTGCTTCTCCCTCTGACCCTCCCCCCTCTCATGCTTTCTCTCTCTATCTCATTCTCTCTCTCTCTCTCAAATAAATAAATAAAATCTTTAAAAAATAAATAAATAAATAAATAAATAAATAAATAAATAAATAAATAAAAATAAATAAAATTGATGTCGGGCTCCCTGCTCAGTGGAGAGCCTGTTTCTCCCTCTCCCTCTGCCTGCCTCTCTGCCTACTTGTGCTCTCTATCTCTCTGTCAAATAAATAAATATTTAAAAAAATAAAAATAAAATAAAAATAAGTAAAATTGAGAATGAAGAAACCCCGAATGATTTCTTGTCTTAGTTATTTTGATTGATCGCCCATATTCTTTACACTAGAATATGTAAAACTAGAGTATTTTTTATAACCCTGCCTAGGGAAGGATAAAGCACAATTTTACCAGGGCTTACTTAGCACTGTTTCCTGAGGCGTTTGGAAAGAGTCCGTACCCTACTATTAATGCTAGTGAAGACCCTCCTCACACCATAATTCATGAATGTCAAATCCAGATAAATAAAAAACCGATGGCTAATTTCTGGGGAAGAGAATTTACATTTAATGGGTAACTTATAAGATCCAAGAACTGTGTAATTTCCTTTGTATATGTTATTTCATTTGTTCTTCACAATACTACAAATAAATATTCCTATCCAGTTTACAGTTGGGGGACTCAAAAATGTGACAATTTATAAAAGTTCAGATGAGATAGGAGTCAAACTTATTTACTTCTCCTTAGGCTCACATGTCTGTGATGGTACACTTTGATACATCATTTACTAAACCTGATCTCCTTTATCAGAGCAGTGGTCTTTGAAAGGTTTTGCTACATTCCCCTTGAAACAATTTCAAAAAATAATGTATCCCCTTTTACATTTTTTTTAAAGTAGGCTCCATGCCCAGCATGGAGCCCAAAGCAGGACTTGAACTAATGAACTTGAGATCAACACCTGAGCTGAGATAGAGTCAGATGCTTAACTGACTAAACCACCCAGGCGCCCCTCCCCTTTTACATTTTTAAATTAACATCTACAAGATATTCTTCAGAAGTTTAAATGATGCAAAGATACCATTCTAGCGTATTTTCTACAGCATCATTAATTAAACATACACAAGCTTTTTTTAAATTTAAATTTAGAAATCTTGCACTGGGCCTTTTTCTTGAAATCATTTCCATTCCACTTTCATCACTGAATTTTACCTTAATGTAATAATTGCCTATCCTTAAAAATCTTTTACTAATTACCTTGTTTTACTTCTCAGCAACAAAAATGAAATTTTAATTTTTCCCTGTGACCAAAACACTCTATAAGTGTCAAAAAGCTTTTTAAAGATTTGTTTATCCATTCATATAAAGAAGATGTAATATATATGTATATACACAATGGAATATTACTCAGCCATCAAAAGGATGAAATCTTACCATTTGCAACCACGTGGATGGAAATGGAGGGTATCATGCTAAGCGAAATAAGTCAGATAAAGAATTATCATATGGTTTCACTCATACATGGAATTTGAGAAAAAGCATAGGATCATAAGGGAAGGGAGGGAAAAATAAGAAAAGTCAGAGATGGAGACAAACCGTAAGAGACTCTTAATCATAGGAAACAGACTGAGGGTTGCTGGAGGGGAGGTGGGTGGTGGTATGGGGTAACTGTGCACCTCCCCCTGCTTGTGCTCACTCACTCACTCTCTCTCAAATAAAATCTTTTGAAAAACTTGTAAAAAAAAAAAAAAAACAGGCACGTGATGTAATGAGCACTGGGTGTTTTATGCAACTGATGAATCACTAAACTCTACATCTGAAACTAATAATAGACTATATGTTAATTAATTAAATTTAAATAAAATAAGATTTTTAAAAATTCAGTCATTATTATAATTTTGGTATCCAGTCGATCAAAATAACAAATATATTTAACATTTTAATAATTATTAAACATACACAGGGTCACCATTCGGCTCTCCTTTGGCCAAGTCCCTTTTCTTCCTGGTGAGAAATCGATATGCAAAGATACCTACATGTCCACAGCCCACAACCTCCTTTAGACCATGCTCTAGATATCTGAGAATTTTCCACTCAAGTAGCCTCTAGCCTGCTTCCAGAGCCTATGCTCTTCTGTGTCTTAAGCTCTCTCCCTTCATCTGCCCTCTGAAAGGCAAACATGCTGCCTATGTGTACAAGGTGGCCAAGTGGTAGCTACATGGTGACACTAGACAGCTTAGACATACAAGCTGGGGTGTCCACAGTAAACATGAGGCCCCTTTTGTTGTGGGAGAGAGGTGGAGTTGATTAAGAAAAGGGAGCTGGCTGGGGACCACTTGTACTGTTGACCCAGGTCTCTAAATGTCAGTAACAGGTTTGCTTGTATACAATCTATTTGGAAACCACTGACCTTGTTAAGATAGGGTGCTTTGAATTAGGGTAGTAAATGTCTTTTTTTTTTTTTTAAAGATTTTATTTATTTATTTGAGAGAGAGAGAATGAGAGAGCAAGCACATGAGAGGGGGGAGGGTCAGAGGGAGAAGCAGACACCCTGCTGAGCAGGGAGCCCGATGCGGGACTCGATCCCGGGACTCCAGGATCATGACCTGAGCCGAAAGCAGTCGCTTAACCAACTGAGCCACCCAGGCGCCCTAGGGTAGTAAATGTTAGAGGCAATAAGAAATGGTCAAAATGATATAATTTGAGTGTAGAAGTAACAAGAGTGGCTGATGCTTGGATGTGAATATGAAGGAAAGACCAAAATTAAATATAATGCTTAAATTTTTGTCCTGAACTTTTATATGAATGGTAGTTTCCTTTACTAAGATAGTAAACAATGAGTATGTAGCAGGTGTCTAGGGTGGGAGTGGGGGTGGGGTCATGTTAAGTTTGAGATACTTGTTGAATGTTAAAGAGGTGATATCAGGTAGGCACTTAGCCCTGTGTGTAGCTCAGTGGAAAGGTTGGTAGTGGAGTAAGAATTTGGGATTTTTCAATTAAGATGCTTTTAGCTGTAAGTTATATAATGCCCAGCTGGAAGTGGCTTTTACAATAAAGGTGTTTATTTCTCCACATGGCAAGAAGTTCAGTTGGCTAACAGCTAAACAATTATATCAAAAGTATTTTATATCATTTATTTTCATAGTGGATAACTTTTATCAAATGCAATTGGTTAATTGCAGAAGTTTGGTTTTAGTGGGAAATCATGAAAAATGATACATACTAAAAACATTTAAGTTTTATCCTAAAATATTTAAAGGCATATTCATTTATGACTTTCTTCTCTCAAGCGCCACCCAGCTTTTTTTGACCTAATTTTCATTGCTGCTTCTGCATGTTGATGGATAGAACCTAATTCTTGCAGCATCTATTTACTGCTGGCTTTGGCACATTAGCCCATAGCTAGACATCATTCTGATGCCTTGACTTCAAATCCAGAAGAGAAAGAGCATATGGGGAGGGGAGAGAAAAGAAGTGATTGAGGGAGTTACACTTCCCTGAGTGAACTATTTAGTGTAGTTTAGACTCTTAGAAATGTTAGCGTTTCACATATATTATAAATAGATAAAATTAACAAATATAGTTTTTTATTGTTATGTAACAAATTACTACAGACCCATTTATTATCTCATAATTTCTGTGGGTCAGGAATCTGGGCACAACTTAGCTGGATTCTCTGTCAGGGTCTTACAAAGCTGAAATCAAGGTGTCAGCTGGGCTGCAGTCTCATTGGTAGGCTTGACAAAGAAAGGGTTAGCCTCCAAGCTCTTTTAGGTAGTTCGCAGATATGGTTTCTTTGTGGCTACAGAATTCAGCCAGCAATAAAGAGAAAATCTTTGCTTCTGAGAGTCTCACTTTAGGGAAGACTGAGGCCTTCTTATAAAGATTTACCAGATTAAGTTGGACCCACTTAGGATAATTTACCTTTCCTTTAACTCAAAGTCAACTGATTAAGGAACCTTAATTACATTTGCAAAATCCCTTCACATTTGCCATACAATTTAACATAAAAACAAGAGTGATAATCACATAACCTTTGCCATATTCTGTTGGTTAGAAGTTGCTCACACTCCCACTCACACTCAAGGGGAGGGTATTACCCAATAGTGTGGTATTAGGAGTGAGAATCATAGGAGGTACCCTAAGATGTGTTCACAACAGCAAAGATGGAGGGAATCCCCAAATTAAATACAAACAGAAATTAATTCTATTTCAAATGAATAACATAACCACACTGAAGGTGGGGGGCGGGGGGAGAAGGAACTAACTTGAGTAACTCTCGAACGCAGTGATTTGTCCTCAGGCCAAAGACAAAAAGATCTACAAAAATAATAAACTCTAGTGAATGGGTTTGCTTATCACAGTTGTATGCATTAGCAATTCTGAAACTACTTAATGTATATTCTAAGACTGAGCAAATAAGCAAATATGGATAATGGGAACCAGGTTTCTCACTATAAGAAAAGGGATTATAGATGTGGAAAGGACGATTAGAATGAACACTGTGAGGTGGCTCAGTCGTTAAGCGTCTGCCTTTGGCTCAGGTCATGATCCCAGGGTCCTGGGATCGAGCCCCACATCAGGCTCCCTGCTCAGCGGAAAGCCTGCTTCTCCCTCTCCCACTCCCCCTGCTTATGTTCCTTCTCTCGCTTTGTCGCTGTCAAATAAATAAATAAAATCTTTAAAAAAAGAAAAAAAAAGAATGAACACTGTGATGTTGAATTAAAATTGGAAGTACCCATATGAACAGATTTTTTTTTTCCCGGGAATAGACAGATATGTGTGTATACATACACACATATAAATCTTCTAGCTCTGTCGGCAGAGATGGCTTAAGAACAATGAGCACAATTCTCACCTAGGTCTTGGTTTCTTAATATTCCCCACTAAAAGTAACCATAGTTTCTTGGAGAAATAGCTAATTCCAGGGCTGAGGCTGGGAAAAAGTACAAAATGAGCCTTCAGTTTCTCTCTGTGAGAAATTAAGGAGATGCTTAAAGAATGATGGGTAGGGGCACTGGGGGCTCAGTTGGTTAGGCAACTGCCTTCGGCTCAGGTCATGATCCCAGGGCCCTGGGATTGAGCCCCGCATCCTCAGCAGGGAGCTCACTTCTACCTCTCCCTCTGCCCTTCTCCCATACTCGTGCTCTCTCTCCCTCTCAAATAAATAAATAAATAAAATCTTTTTAAAAAGTTGGGGGAGGAGACATGTCAAAACGACACAGGAGCCAGCTTTAAAGGGGCTCCCACTGGCCAAATCTAGGAAACTGAATTAAAAGTTATAAAAAGGATATATAATACTCATATCCCATAGTCACCCAATTCACCACTCAGAGACAACCTATCAGCCAGGATTCCCTCAAGAAACCAGAATTCTCAATTTCTCCCTTCTTTTCCACATTCCAAATCTTGTGCAAGTGTCTCTCTGACACTCTAACTAGGAGCCATATGGAAAGATGGTTCTGAGAAATGTCATTCACAGCTTCTCCTCTGGAGAGCATAATATGGGGTAGCAGGAATATTCAGTTGTCAACAGACAGTGCAGCTCACAACATAATGTTACCTGTGTCTTGAGTTTCCTCCCAGAGGCATATATAAACAGTTAAATATTCACTGAAATATATACTTATGTTCTTTTTTCTTTGAATGGCAGCATATGACCATACTATTCTGCCCTTGATTTCTTCACTTACTGTTATCTTAATGACTATTTCATTTGCATAAATAGAGTTGACATCATTCTTTTTTAATGGCTGCACATTATACCATTGAATGATTGTACCATAATTCACCTGATTGTTGTTTGTGTGTCTCAACCAGGCATTTGTTTCCATTCTATAGAGTGCTCTGGGGGAAGACTGATACCCTACATATTGGGTGGTCACTCATGCAGACAAGAACAATTTTTGTGTGGCATGCTGAGATCACGTTCATTAAAAAAAAAAAAAAAGGCTCACAAGGACCCTACAAAATGTCTTTGGTGCTGCCTATGCCTCTGTTGCCAAAATATATTTTGATCTTCAGGGTTATAGTGAAAAACACCCATCTTATCCCTGTGGCACACTCAAGGGGTTAATTGTTGAATTAACAATTACCCTCGGGGGGGAGGGGTCCCGAATCCTGATGATACTGATTTGAAGTACTCTAGAAGAAGAAACTTAAAAATATGAGCAGGATAGAGAGGACTTCCCTGAAGTATATCCACTATTCCAACCCACCCACCCACCCAGTTAAAAAAATAAATGAAGGAAGGAAGAAGGGAAGGTAAGAAGAATGGAAAGAAAGAAGGGAAGAGTTACTTTCTGTTATAGCTAACATTGATTTTTTAGTTATCTATCCAAAGCACTCTACAAACGTGACTTTCTGATACTTATATTGTACATTTCACCTTATCTAAATTAAGGAAAATAAAATCCTATGCAGTAATCCAATATGGTCACATGATGAGTGAAGTCTATGGTAAAATCAAGATACAAAAAGTATTAGAGAGCTCACTTGGGATGCTGTACTATTTTTGTCTGTTCAGCTACCTATCCCAATAAGGTGGGAAAGGCAAGGAGAAGTAGGTAGGAAAAATTCACCCATTAACTGCAAAAAAGCAATGCAATAGATAAAGGATAGTATTTTAAAGATTGTACTAAAAAAACTGGATAGTCCAAAGAGAAGAAAATAATCAACCCCTACATCACACCATTCACAAAAATTAATTTGAGATACCTAACATATCTAGATGAAAATATAGGAGAATATATTTATGACGTGGGGTTAGGCAAAGACAAAAAAAGCCATAACAAAAAAAGAAAAATGTGATATATTCCAATTAATTAGATTAAAAACTTCCAATGATACCATTAAGAAAATGATTAAGCAAACCACAGGACAGGAGAAAGTATTCAAAATACACATTTCTTACCAAGCAAGGACTTATAACGAGAATATATAATCAATTCCTATAACTAAAAAATCAGGGGCACCTGGGTGGCTCAGTCAGTTAAGCACCTGCCTTTGGCTCAGGTCATGATCCCAGGGTCCTAGGATCAAGTCCCACGTCAGGCTCCCAGCTCAGTGGGGAGCCTGCTTCTCCCTCTGCCCCCTGCTCGTGCTCTCTCTCTCTCTCTCTCTCTCAAAAAATAAATAAATAAAATCTTGGGGCGCCTGGGTGGCTCAGTTGGTTAAGCGACTGCCTTTGGCTCAGGTCATGATCCTGGAGTCCCGGGATCGAGTTCCTCATCGGGCTCCCTGCTCAGCGGGGAGTCTGCTTCTCCCTCTGACCCTCCCCCATCTCATGCTCTCTCTCTATCTCATTCTCTCTCTCAAATAAATAAAATCTTTAAAAATAAATAAATAAATAAATAAATAAATAAATAAATAAATAAATAAAATCTTTAAAAAAATAAAAAAAATCAAACAACCCCAATAAAAAAGTGCAAAGAAGATGTGATGTGTGTGTATATATATGTGTGTGTGTGCACACACACAATGGGATATTACTTAGCCATCAAAAATGATATCTTATCATTTGCAATGACGTGGATGGAACTAGAAGGTATCATGCTAAGTGAAATAAGTCAATCAGAGAAAGATAATTATCATATGATTTCACTCATATGTGGAATTTAAGAAACAAAACACAGAAGCATAGGGGAAGGGAGGGAAAAATAAAACAAGATGAAATCAGAGAGGGAGATAAACCATGAGACTCTTAATCATAGGAAACAAACTGAGGGTTGCTGGAGGGGAGAGGGGTAGTGGGATGGGGTAATTGGGCGATGGGCATTAAGGAGGGCATGTGATGTAGTGAGCACTGGGTGTTACATACAACTGATGAATCACTGAACTCTACCTCTGAAACTAATAATACACTATATCTTAATTAATTGAATTTAAATAAAATGAAATATAATTTAAAAAAAGAAAAATTAAGAAAAAAAAACAAGACCCATCTATATATTGCCTCCAAGAAACTCATTTCAGACTGAAAGATGCATGCAGATTGAAAGTGAGGGGATGGGGAAACATTTATTATGCAAATGGATATCAAAAGAAAGCTGGGGTAGCATTACCTGTATTGGACAAAATAGACTTTAAAACAAAGACTATAACAAGAAACAAAGAAGGACACTATATAATAATAAAGGGGACAATGCAATAATGAGATATAACAATTGTAAATATTTATGCACCCAACATGGGAGCACCCAAATACATACAACAATTAATAATAAACATGAGGGAAGTAACTGATAGTAATATAATAGTAGTAAGGAACTTTATCACACTATTTATATTGATGGACAGATCATCTAAACAGAAAATCAATAAGGAAATAGTGGCTTTGGATGACATACTGGGCCAGATGGATATAATAGGTATGTCCAGAACATTCCATCCTAAAACAGCAGAATACACATTCTTTTCAAATGCACATGAAACATTCTCCAGAACAGATCACATATTATGTCACAAAACAACTCTCAACAAATTCAAAAAGATTGAAGTCATACCATGCATTTTTCTGACCACAACACTATGAAACTGGAAGTCAGCCACAAGAAAAAATCTGTAAAAAGCACAACTATATGGAGGTTAAATAACACGCTACTAAACAGGAAATGGGTAAATCAAGAAATCAAAGAGGGAATTTAAAAATTACATGGAGGGGCGCCTGGGTGGCTCAGTCAGTTAAGCGTCTGCCTTCGGCTCAGGTCATGATCCCAGGGTCCTGGGATGGAGCCCCGCATCAGGCTCCCTGCTCCGCGGGAAGCCTGCTTCTCCCTCTCCCACTCCCCCTACTTGTGTTCCCTCTCTCGCTGTGTCTCTCTCTGTCAAATAAATAAATAAAATCTTAAAAAAAATAAATAAATAAAAATAAAAATAAAAATTACATGGAAACTGGGGCGCCTGGGTGGCTCAGTCGTTAAGCGTCTGCCTTCGGCTCAGGTCATGATCCCAGGGTCCTGGGATCGAGCCCTGCATCGGGCTCCCTGCTCCGCGGGAAGCCTGCTTCTCCCTCTCCCATTCCCCCTGCTTGTATTCCCTCTTTCGCTGTGTCTCTCTCTGTCAAATAAATAAATAAAATCTTTAAAAAAAAAAAAATTACATGGAAACAAATGAAAATGAAAATCCAATGATCCAAAATCTTTGGGATGCAGCAAAAGCTGGTGTGGAGGGGGAAGTTTATAGCAATACAGGCCTACCTCAAGAAGCAAGAAAAATCTCAAATAAACAACCTAACCTTTTGCCTAAAGGAGCTAGAAAAGAAGAACAAACAAAACCCAAAACTAATGGAAGGAAGAAAATTGTAAAATTGGAGCACAAATAAATGACACAGAAACTAAAAAAAAAAACAGTAGAACAGATCAATGAAACTAGGAGCTGGTTATTTGAAAAGATCAACAAAATTGATAAACCTCTAGCCAGACTCATCAAAGAAGAGAAAGGACTCAAATAAAACAAAATTAATGAAAGAGGGGAAATAACAACTGATACAAAAACACAAGCAACTGTAAGAGAATATTATGAAAAACTATATGGTAACAAATTGGACAAACTAGAAGAAATGGAAAAATTCCTAGAAACATATAACCTACCAAAACTGAAGCAGGAAGAAACTGAAAGTTTGAACAGACCAATTACCAGCAAAGAAATTGACTCAGTAATCAAAAAACTCCCAACAAACAAAAGTCCAGGACCAGACGGCTTCACAAGAGAATTCTACCAAACATTTAAAGAAGAGTTAGTACTATTCTCAAAATATTCAAAACAAAAGAAGAGAAAGGAAACTTCCAAATTCATTCTATGAGGCCAGCATTACCCTAATACCAAAACCAGATAAAGACACCACAAAAAAAGAGAATTATAGGCCAATATCTCAGATGAACATAAATGCAAAAACCCTCAATAAAATATTAGCAAATCAAATTTAACAATACTTTAAAAAAAATCATTCATCACAATCAAGGATTTATTCCCAGGAAGCAGGGTGGTTCATTCGCAAATCAATGTGATATATCACATCAATAAGAGAAAGGATAAAAACTGTATGATTATTTCAATAGATGCAGAAAAATCATTTGACAAAGTACAACATCCATTCATGATAAAAACCCTCAAAAAAGTAGGTTTAGAGGGAACATAACTTGACATAATAAAGACCTTATATGAAACACCAACATCATCCTCAGTGGGAAAAAACTGAGAGCTTTTCCCATAGGGTCAAGAACAAGACAAAGATGTCAATTCTCACCACGTCTACAAAAATTTTTATTTAAATTCCAGTTAGTTAACATACAGTGTAATCTTAGTTTCAGGTATACAATATAGTGATTCAGTACTTCCGTACCACACCCAGTGCTCATCACAAATACACTCCTTAATCCCTCTTACCACTTTTATTCAACATAGTACTGGATGTCCTAGCCACAGCAACAGAGAAGAAAAATAAATAAAAGGCATCCAAATTGGTCAGGAGGAAGTAAAACTTTCACTATTTGCAGATGACATGATATTATATGTAGAAAACTCTAAAGACTCCACCAGAAAACTACTAGAACTGATAAATGAATTCAGTAATGTGGCAAGATACAAAATCAATGTACAGAAATCTGTTGCATTTCTATAAATTAATAATGAAGCAGAGGAAAGAGAAATTAGGAAAACAATCCCATTTACAGTTGCACCAAAAATAATAAAATACCTAGGAATAAACTTAACCAAAGAGGTGAAACACTTGCACTCTGAGAATTATAAAATATTGATGAAAAATTTGAAAATGAGGCGTGCCTGGGTGGCTCAATTGGTTAAGTAGCTGCCTTCAGCTCAGGTCATGATCTCAGGGTCTTGGGATTGAGCCCCACTGAGCAGGGAGCCTGCTTCTCCCTCTGCCCCTCCCCCCCACTCGTGTGCCCTCTCTCTCTCACAATCTTAATTTATTTGTGAGAGAGAGCAAGCTAGCACAAGCAGAGGGAGTGGGAGGCAGAGGGAGAAGCAGGCTTCCCGCTGAGCAAGGAGGCTGAAGCAGGACTCGATCCCAGAACCCTGGGATCATGACCCGAGCCAAAGGCAGACACTTAACTGACTGAGCCACCCTGGCATCCCTAAATAAACAAAATCTTAAAAAATAAATGAAAATGACACAAAGAAATGGAAAGACATTCTATGCTCATGGATTGAAAGAATTAATACTGTTAAAATGTCTATACTACCCAAAGCAATCTACAGATTAATGAAATCCCTATCAAACATTTTTTCACAGAACTTGAAAAAACAACCCTAAAATTTGTCTGAAATCAGAAAAAACCTGAACAGCCAAAGGAATCCTGAAAAAGAAAAACAAAACTGGAGGTACTGCAAATTCCAGACTTCAAGTTATATTACAAAGCTGTAGCAACCAAAACAGTATGGTACTGGCACAAAAAAAGATACATAGATCAATGAAACAGAATAGAAACCCCAGAAATAAACCCACAATAATATGGTCAATTGATCTTTGACAAAGCAAGCAGGAAAAAGACAGTCTCTTCAATAAATGGTGCTGGGAAACCTGGACAGCTGCATGCAAAAGAATGAAACTGGATCACCTTCTTCCACCATAAACAAAAATAAACTAAAAATGAGTTAAAGACCTAAATGTGAGACCTAAAACATAAAAATCCTTGAAGAGAGCATAGGCAGTAATCTCTCTGACATTGGCCATAGCAACATTTTTCTAGATATGTCTCCTGAGGGAAGGGAAATAAAAGCAAAATAAACTACTGAGACTACATCAGAATACAAAGTTTCTGTATAGCAAAGGAAATGATCAACAAAACTAAAAGGTAACCAACTGAGTGGGAGAAGATATTTGCAAATGACGTATCTGATAAAGGGTTAGTATCCAAAATATATAAAGAACTTCTATGACTCAACAGCCAAAAAACAAATAATCCAATTAACAAATGAGCAGAAGTCATGAATAAACATTTTTCCAAAGAAGACATGCAGATAGCCAGCAGACACATGAAAAGATGCTCAACATCACTCATCATCCAGGGAAATGCAAATCAAAACAATAATGAGATACAGGCTCACACTTGTCAGAATGGCTAAAATCAACAACACAAGAAACAACAGGTGTTGGTGAGGATGTGGAGAAATAGGAACCCCCTTGTACTGTTGGTGGGAATGCAATGCAATGCAAATATTGCCATTTGCAATGACATGGATGGAGCTGGAGAGTATAATGCTAACCAAAATAAGTCAGAGAAAGACAAATTCCATATGATTTCACTCATTTGTGGAATTTAAGAAACAAAACAAATAAGGAAAGGAAAATAAAGAGAGAGAGAGACAAACCAAGAAACAGACTCTTAACTATAGGAAACAAACTGATGGTTACCAGAGGGGAGGTGGGTGGGGGGAAGGGAGAAATAGGTGATGGGGATTAGAAAGTACTTTTATCATGATGAAAATAAAATAAAATAAAATGATAAAATAGAAAGATTTTGTTCTGAGTACCTGTTTCTTCTGGGTATATACCCAGAAGTGGATTTGCTGGATAATACGGTAACTGCAAGTTTCATTTTATAGGAACTGCCAAATTATTTTCCATAGTAACTGCACCATTTTACATTGCCACCAGCAATGTATGAAGATCCCCAATTTTCCATGTCCTTGCCAACACTTGTTACTTTCCTTTTTTATTTGTTTATTATAGGTATCCTAATGGGTGTGAAGTTGTATCTTATTGTGGTTTTGATTTGCATTTCCTTAATAACCAATGATGATGAACATTTTTTTATGTGTTTCTTAGCCATTCTTTGGAGAAATGTCTGCTCAAGAACTTGGCCCTTACTTACTTACTTACTTACTTACTTACTTACTTACTTTATTTATTTATTTATTTATTTATTTATTTATTTATTTGGTGATAGGAACAAAGTTTATTTAACACTCATGGGCAGTCTCAGGGAACTACAAAATGAGTTGGAAGGCAAGAAGTTTTTATAAGATAAAGAATAAAGAAGAGGGAAGAGACAAATAGAAAATATCTGATTGGCTGGGGCCACATAGTCAACCTTGTTGGGAGTGAGAAGGCCCAGAGTTGGCTTGGCATTTGAGGATTAGCTGACTGGATTGCATTTCTGGTCAAATAGAGTATTTACAGGGACACAAAAGTTATCTAAGTTTTAGTTTGCTGATATGGCACCCCAGGCAGGTACAGCTCCATCTTGGCTTAGACTACTGATTTATTATGAAAGGACGTAACTCAGGAACAGTCAGAAGGAAGGGATGCATAGAGCAGGGTATGAGAAAAGGGCCTGGAGCTTCCATGCTCTGAGCACCAGTCTTCCCAAATCTCCATGGATTCACCAACCCAGAAGCTCTCTGAACCCCATCTGTTTGGGTTTTCATGGAGGCTTCATTAATAGGACCAGTTGATTAAATCATTGGCCACTGGTGACTGATTCAACCTCAATCTTTGCCCCCCCACCTTTTTTTTTAGTAGGCTCTATGCCCAACATGGGGCTTGAACTCAGGACCCAGAGATTAAGAGTCACATGACCTAACCTACTGAGCCAGCTAGGCACCGCTGCCCACTTTTAAATTGTATCATTATTTTGTTCTAAGTTGTAGTAATCCTTTATATATTCAGTATACTAAACCCTTATCAGATATATGATTTGCCAATATTTTGTACCACTCTATATATTGTCATTTCACTTTCTTGATAATATCCTTTTTTGCACATTCAGTTTTTAATTTTTATGAAGTTCGATGTATCTAAATTTTGTATTGCTCATACTTTTGGTGTCAAATCTAAGAATCTATTGCCAAATAGGTCATGCATATATTCCTGTTTTTTGCTAATAACTTTTTAACTTTTGTTCTTACATTTAAAGTTTAGAAATCTAAATTAATATTAGTTTCAAGAGTAGAATTTAGTGATTCATCACTTCATATAACACCCAGTGCTCATCACAAGTGCCCTAAGGTCTTCTTAAATTTTGTGGTCTCACAGACCTATACCTCTGAAACAAATAATACATTATATGTTAAAAAAAAAAAAAAGGAAGATAGTAGGAAGGGTAAAATGAAGGGGGGAATCGGAGGGGGAGATGAACCAGGAGAGACCATGGACTCTGAGAAACAAACTGAGGGTTCTAAAGGGGAGGGGGGTGGGGGCATGGGTTAGCCTGGTGATGGGTATTAAAGAGGGCATGTTCTGCATGGAGCACTGGGTGATATGCACAAACAATGAATCATGGAATACTACATCAAAAACTAATGATGTAATGTATGGGGATTAACATAACATAATAAAATAAAATTTTTTTTTAAAGTTATTAATTTCTATAGATCTAAATAAAATAGCTTTGAAATGTATTAAGCAAACTTTGATGGAAATACCTGGAGAAAAGTTTTTGTTTTTGTTTTCAAGATTTTATTTTTTATTTTTATTTATTTATTTGAGAGAGAGAGAATGAGAGACAGAGAGCACGAGAGAGAAGAGGATCAGAGGGAGAAGACCCCCCGCTGAGCAGGGAGCCCAATGTGGGACTCGATCCCGGGACTCCAGGATCATGACCTGAGCTGAAGGCAGTCGCTTAACCAACTGAGCCACCCAGGCGCCCTGGAGAAAAGTTTCTTAACATGATCATAAATTTATTTATTATAACCACTTACAGAAATGGAAGTGCTAAGTTTTTAAAGATAATTAAGGCTAATTTCTTCTGCTGGGGTGAATACAATGGTGTTTGTTCTATTAATATTACTTACACCTATATTTACATTACAAATCTAATTTTACATGTGTTAAGCATATAATATAAATTAAATAAAAAACAATCAATACAAAACAAGAGAATGATGAGGTAACTAGAAAAACATCAGTTTGCAAACTTTTGTGTTAATTTTGGTATAATATTGTTAAAATATACATATACACATGTTAAACACTTGCTTTTTAAGATAACATGAAAATTCACAGAACTTGATTAGATTCAAAACTAAATTTTATGAATTAAAATGGAAGAAATCACAAAATATATTGACTATAAAGCTATAAAATAAAAAAACTAAACACTAGGAGATTCTAAAAATGAACTCATCCATCTAGCCATTTGTAGAAATAGTAATTCTTGGCTAAAGGAGAAAATAAAAATAAAAATAAAAATTATAACTGACTTGACTTTCAGAAGAAAAAAGGAAAAGGGTTAAAAAAAGCCTTAAGTATGATTAAATAAGCTTCAAAAAGCAATAAAAATTAGCTTCAAGAGGTTAGTAATTAACAGAAAATAATAAAACATAAAATAAAAAGACACATTGAAAATGTGATTAAAAGAATAAAGTTTTTTTAATTAAAAAAATAGAAAAATAATTGGCAAGAATATTCAGAAAGAGACATAGCTATGGGCACGGAGGAGATTAAGTAATTATGCAATTTAGTTCTAGCAAAAGAGATTCCTCAAGATGTCTGTGTTGTGTCCAGATAGAACAGCATACTTCAGATTGTAGGTTTACATCTGTCAGTGGGTGTTAACAAGCATTTTCTTTGCATTTGTTTTGCTTATTTGGTAATTTTCTTCTATGGTTAGTTTAAATTTTTTTTTAAGTTTATTTATTTCTTTATTTATTTATTTTTGTAATCTCTACACCCAACATGGGCCCGAACTCATGACCCTGAGATCAAGAGTCACATGCTCAGGCGCCTGGGTGGCTCAGTTGGTTAAGCGACTGCCTTCGGCTCAGGTCATGATCCTGGAGTCCCGGGATCGAGTCCCGCATCGGGCTCCCTGCTCGGCAGGGAGTCTGCTTCTCCCTCTGACCCTCCTCCCTCTCATGCTCTCTGTCTCTCATGCTCTCTGTCTCAAATAAATAAATAAAATCTTTAAAAAAAAAAGAGTCACATGCTCCACCGACTAAGCCAGTCAGATGCCCCGTGTCTTGTTTAAATTATATAAGGCATAGATGTTAATAGTATGTTAGGTATTATAATGTGTAACTTTTTTTTTTCTGGCATTTATGTGAAGTATTGTTTGCTGTGCTATAGACCATAAACATCTAAACATTTTTTATTTTTTTGTAAATAGGTTCCATATCCAACATGGGGCTTAAACTCATGACCCTGAGATCAAGAGTCATATGCTCTACAGACTGAGCCATGCAGGCACCCCTAAACTTTTTTTTAAGGATTTTTATTTTTTAAAAAGATTTTATTTATTTATTTAGTTAGTTAGTTAGTTATAGCAGGGGGAGGCACAGAGGTAAAGGGAGAGAGAATCCCAAACAGACTCTGTGCTGAGTGCATGGAATGCAATGTGGGGCTTGACTTGGGACTCAATCCTATGACCCTGAAATCATGACCTGAGCCAAAACCAAGAGTCGGACGCTTAACCGAATGAGCCACCCAGGCACCCTTAAAGATTTTTATTTTTATAAGTAATCTCTACACCCAAGGTGGGGCTCAAACTCACAACCCAAGAGTTGCATACTGAGCCAGCCAGGCACCCCAAGACCATAAACATCTAGAAACAATGCACTTAAAATGAAAAGTAAAGTGTTTTACTTCCACTTGAGTTTGAATATTTTCCACCAAAAAATAACCAAATAGGGGCACCTGGGTGGCTCAGTTGTTAAGCGTCTGCCTTCGGCTCAGGTCATGATCCCAGGGTCCTGGGATCGAGCCCTGCGTCGGGCTCCCAGCTCCGCAGGGAGCCTGTTTCTCCTTCTCCCACTCCCCCTGCTGTGTTCCCTCTCTCGCTGTGTCTCTCTCTGTCAAATAAATAAATACAATCTTAAAAAAAAAATAACCAAATAAATCAGTGAGAAGAGTGGCATTATTTTATAATCTCTTTAATCATAAGTGTAACAGAATACAGCTGATATTTTATATGTGCTCTTGCATTTATTTATTTATTTATTTATTTATTTACTTATTTATTTATTAAGAGGGGGGTGGCGAGACGGGCAGAAGGAGAGAATCACAAGCATGCTCCACACCCAGCATGGAGCCTGACATGGGGCTTGATCTCAGAACCCTGAGATTATGACCTGAGCCAAAATCAAGAGTTGGACACTCAACCTACTGAGCCACCCAGGCATCCCAGTGTGCTCTTGCATTTAATCTGCCAAGATAAAGAAAATCTGGACTCACACATCCAGAATTTAAAAATGAAGAAGTATTCTAATGGCCTTTTCAGGTATTTGTCAGTATTATTGACACTACACCAAAAATCAACAAGTGGTAACTTCTTAAATGTTCCTGTAATGTGGAATCTGACCTTTATCTCTCTAAGATTGGTATTCATTTTAAATTTTTTTTTTTTTGCAGTTTTTTTTTTAAGTAAACTCTATCCCCAAGGTTGGGCTCGAACTCACAACTCCGAGATCAAGAGCTGCATGCTCCACCAACCAAGCAAGCCAGGCACCTCTAGCTTCTCTTAAATTAAAATCCATTTGTCGGGGCGCCTGGGTGGCTCAGTCGTTAAGCGTCTGCCTTTGGCTCAGGTCATGATCCCAGGGTCCTGGGATCAAGCCCCGCGTCAGGCTCCCTGCTCAGCGGGAAGCCTGCTTCTCCCTCTCCCACTCCCCCTGCTTGTGTTCCCTCTCTCGCTATGTCTCTCTCTTTCAAAAAAAAAAAAAAAAAAAAAATCCATTTGTCTATCTTATACTTTAATATCACCACAGATGATCTTGTAGCATCACACAGTAATCATTTAGAAAATACTGGTTCAATGAGTTAGGCAGACCTTCCAAATGTTGACATATTTCATTATATGGTATTACAAAATCACATTCATTAATATCATTAGTAATCTCATCACAAAAGACTAAGTATTAGAAAGCTATCAAGTTCATGGTGACAGACACTGTTTTTTTATAAATATTTATTTATTTGACAGAGAGAGAGAGAGAGCGAACACAAGCAGGCAGAGCGGCAGGCAGATGGAGAGGGAGAAGCAGACTCCCCACTGAGCAGGGAGCCTGATGCGGGGCTCGATCCCAGGACCCTGGGATCATGACCCGAGCCGAAGGCAGCCGCTTAACAGTGGCTAATTTTTTTGCTAATTAATTAACAAAAATTACTACCAGTTTTCTTTACTGTCAGGTTTTATAAATCACTTCATTTTTGACAAAATGTTTAGCAGATATACCGGTCTTCATCTTCTTATTCAAAATTTGTCAGTTACTCTTTCAAATAAAATTGGTGCCCATAAAAAGGTGGCTAGTTCAGCTCACAACTCAAACAATCATAAAAGTGCATTTCCTGGAAACAACTTGATATTTCGGCATGAATAAAAACTTTATGTGCCTTTCTCTCTTCATCACATAAAATACTTAGAAGATGAATATATATAGAAATTTTAATATCCTGGTTGTAACATTATAGTTTTGCAAGACATTACCATTGGGGTAAACTGGGCAAAGAGCTCATGGGATCTCTCTACATAATTTCTTACAAATGCATGTAAATCTAAAATTATCTCAAAATAAAAAGTATAATTTAAAATTTTTGTACTCAGGGTCAAGTTCAACAAAACTAATTTTAACTGTTTTATGAAGAACATTCTTAAGTGGAACTAGCAAGTTTTTACCACAAGTGTGTGGTGGTAAAGAACACAAGAACTATAGTACAGTTTGATAACACTGTCCTGATTCAAGCTAAAGGCCCAGCAGTTTCCCCACCATTGCTTTTTGCACAATTAGTGCAAATTTCAGCACAAGAGAAAAAAGCAAATCAGGTCTTAGTGTTATAATGAAATTTGTTTTAACCACGTATATCACCCGAAAGGGCCCCCAAACATCCTCTGACCACACTTAGAGAACCACTGATCCATAATAAGTTAAAACAGAATAGTTACTGTCACCCCTTTCTTTTACTTTTTTTTTTTTTTAAGCAATCTCTACATCCAACATGGGGCTCAAACTCACAATCCCAAGATCAGGAGTCCCATGCTCTACCTGACTAAGCCGGCCAGGTGCCCCTGCCACCCCCTTTTGAAACAGATTTCAGTGGTGACCATAACAGGCTTATGGATTTGAAGTGATATTATTTCATACTGTTCATCATCTTTTCTCCAAATTTTTCTTCATGCAGTATAGTCTATTACTTAACCATAGGAGTGGTAGGATGGGCAGTGGTTGAGCTCGGGCACTTTTTGTTTGTTTTAAACATCTAGAGCTGTTATCTATCTCAGGATATGAAATATGGGGCACTGGTAGATAGCTAGTCCAGACAGACTGGAAAAAGAAAAATAAAATCAGGGCGCCTGGGTGGCTCAGTTGGTTGGGCGACTGCCTTCGGCTCGGGTCATGATCCTGGAGTCCCGGGATCAAGTCCTGCATCGGGCTCCCTGCTCAGCGAGGAGCCTGCTTCTCCCTCTGACCCTCCCCCCTCTCATGTACTCTCTCTCTCTCTCTCTCTCATTCTCTCTCTCTCAAATAAATAAATAAATCTTTAAAAAAAAAAAAAAAGAAAACCGTAAGATTTTGAAGATTCACATATATGAACACCATCCAGTGCTTGCCTCCTAATCAGCTTCCAGACTTGCACACAGGTTTTAATGCTAGGCCCAAGTGGAGAACTCAGGTGGCCTGTTCCAATTCTGTCTTCTGAGAGGTTCTAAGCAGAGGATCTAATGCAGATTTAAGAATCAGTACAGGTGGACACTGGGTAGGGCCAAAGTGTAGGGCATCTTTCTACCATTTCCGGTCTCTGTTTGGTTGCTGTTCTATATAAATGCCTCCCCGGGTTTGAGTCTCTTTGAATCTGTTTGAATCTTCAGATATCAGCAATGCTTTATTTTTTGTTGTTGAGAATTTTAAATAATTTAAGGCAAGATCTTTTGGATTTACAGACTGATTACAATGAAAACTGAAATATTTCTTCTTAAAGTTAAAAAAAAAACAGTAAAAAAGATACATGTTTACTTTTGGAATCCTTATTTTTGTGACATCATTTTATGGAAAAGAGTAATTCAATTCTAAGATGCAAAGAGATTAAAACTCTCAAAAGTATTTTTCTATTGAGAAGGAGAAATAGCAGGCCAGGATTTACCATGGGAAGGAATGAGAAGGGCAAGCCACACCAGCAGCTCCATCTAGGATAATATTCCATAATTCTTCACCAGGTTCTTCTCACTCCACTGAAACTTGGATTTTGAACGAAAACTAAGACTCCTACACATTGGGGTGCCTGGCTGGCTCAGTCACTAGCGCATGTGACTCAATCTCAGGGTTGTGAGTTCAAGCCCCATGTTGGGCATGGAGCCTACTTAAAATAAAAAATTAAATTCAATTAAAAAGACCTCTGTACCTCATATTATCTGAGCTAGTGATTTCCTAACTCTAACTTTGGATATTGAGACTTTGGAACCTATGTTTATTTTTTCCCTCAGTTGAGAGCCAATGACCCAAACACTGAATCTTGTACTTGCTATTTTCATAATAACTTGAAATCCTGCTTCCTCACTTTCTAAATACTCATATACAAGTGAGTTTTTCTATTTTTATATGGTTCTATTCTAGGTATCTGTCCACAGATAAAAAGACATGTTATTATACAGTCCTTAATATCCCACCATTCCTCAAAATTCTACTTTCCAAATAAAACTCAGAATCATTTAGTCAACTTCTGTGAAAAAAAATTGGGCCTTGGCTCAGAATTATACATGAATCTGTGGGACACCACCATTCTCAAAAAGAGAGTATTCCAAACCAGAAAAATCATATATTTTACAATGGTTGGAAAGATTTAAACCAAAGAATTACCTGTGGGATGTAGTATGGTAATTCAAAGAAGAATAGAAAGTAATTTCATTTTCTATTTCTGTATATGTGTGTTTTCTTCATGAAAGCATAGAATACGTTTCTAGTCTAAATACACCAGTAAATAAAAATATCTTTAGTATGGATTCAACTTGGAAACCAGAGAGGGTCCCAGGAAACAAGCAAAAATGGATACTTCTTCCCAAAACCTAGAGCTAGGATAGTCACAGTCTTTCTCACCAGTCAGCTCTTTGCATAATAAAACCTTCTTCTACCCATGCACCATCTCTGATCCCATGTATTCACCCTTTCCCAAACTCTCCCTGAAGCTGACTCTGCTGGGTCATGCTCTGGGAAACCAAGATTAAGTCGGCCATGGTTTCTGTCAAGTCTCTTGTTCTCAGAAGGTAAGGCAGACATTAAGAGATGAGCTCTAGTGTTGCTGTTTCTCTAACATCCAGGCTACTGTATAAGGAGTGTCCAAGTATTCTTGGGAAATGACATTAGAAGAGCCTCCATTCCCTAATTTCAACCTACTTAAAAGTACCCCTTCCATCACGTTACCTGACAGATCTTCCACAACCCACCAACCCCATCAGGGAATGCCAAGCTCCTGAAAATGAGCCAGCAGTTCTCCTTCATGTGGACTGGAGATGTGGACTCTTACCATGAGGCTCGTGAACACTCCTGTCACACATAAGATGTCTCCACCTTGGTGTCTGGCAATGGCTGACTTACTACTAAAGCCACAGCCCTAGGTGTGACTTTTGGCATCTCACGACGTATGAGTCTTGGTTAAAGATTCCACTACACTCGTACATACAAGGTTTCTATCCTGAGTGTGTCCTCTGATGTCTGATGAGGTTTGATTTCCGACTAAAGCCTCGCCCACACTTCCTACAAATATAAGGCTTCTCTCCCGAATGTATCCTCTGATGTCTAATAAGGTGTGACTGCCGGCTAAAGCCTTGCCCACACTCCCTGCACACGTGAGGCTTCCCCCCTGAGTGTGCCTTCTGGTGTGTGACGAGAGTTAACTTATCACAAAAGCCTTGCCCACACTCCCTGCACTCAAAGGGTATGCTACCTGAGTGTGCCCTCCTGTGCCTAAATAGGTTTGGCTTCTGGCTAAACCTTCTACCACACTCCCTGCATACGAAAGGCTTTTCCCCTGAATGTGTTCTCTGGTGTGAAATGAGGGTTGACTTATCATTAAAGCCTCGCCCACACTCCCTGCATACAAATGGCTTTTCCCCTGAGTGTGTCCTCTGGTGTGTGATAAGGGTTGATTTCCTGGTAAAGCCCCTCCCACATTCCCTGCACACAAATGGCTTCTCCCCTGTGTGTGACCTCTGGTGTTTGCTGAGGTTTGACTTCAGGCTAAAGCACTGCCCACACTCCAGGCATACATAAGGTTTAACCCCTGAGTGTGTCCTCTGGTGTGTCTTGAGGTTTGATTTCCAGCTAAAATGGCGCCCACATTCTGTGCATACATAAGGCTTCTCTCCTGTGTGTGTCCTTAAGTGCCTAATGAGGTGTGACTTCTGGCTAAAGCTTTGCTCACACTCCCTGCACACATAGGGCTTCTCTCCCGAATGTGTCCTCTTATGTCTGATGAGATGTGAATGCTGGCGAAAGCCATGCCCACACTCCCTGCAAACATAAGGCTTCTCCCCCGAGTGTGCCCTCTGGTGTGTGATAAGGTTTGACTTCAGGCTAAAGCTCTGCCCACATTCCTTGCACAGATATGGCTTGACCCCTGAATGTGTCCTCTGGTGTGTGAAGAGGTTTGACTTCCAAGTAAAGCCTCGTCCACACTCCTTGCACACATAAGGTTTCTCCCCTGAGTGTGTCCTCTGGTGTGTGATGAGGTTTGACTTCCAGGTAAAGCCTCGTCCACATTCCTTGCACACATAAGGCTTGTCCCCAGAGGGTGTCCTCTGGTTTTTGATGAGGGCTGACATATTGCTAAAGCTCCGTCCCCACTCGGAGTACATGTAAGGTGTCTCCCCTGCGTGCATCTTCTGGAGGCTGAGCAGGTTTGACTCCCTCATAAAGCCTAGCCCAAACTCCCCATATTTGATTGCTCCAAATCCTGAGACTTCTACACCATGCAACACTTTGTCTGTTCCCCCAAGGTCTGTCCTCTGGTCTCGGCTGGGCCCTGTGTCCACCGCTGTGTTGTCTTGCTTGGACCTTACTGGCTGTTCTTGCCGTGGGCTGGACAACGCCTCTGAAGTGCCTCTTTTGCTTACTCTCCCCAACAAGGGCTTGGAGTCTTCTTCTGTCTCTTGAATTTCTGCTTTGTCACTCCAGCAGGTTTGATCAAAGAGTTGCTTCTGCTGCTGGTTTTGATCTTCTGGATAGTGCTTCCCCAGGGGGAGATGGTTTCCTGCACATAAACTTGAGAAGAGCTGAGGAAGGTGACTGAACCACACATGCTGGCTGAGGCCTTGCTGACTAGCGAATGCCAGTGGGCAGTGGGGACAAGGTTGAATGTTTAGCTTTGATCCTGCTGAAGAAAGAATATTTTGAATCAGAGTAGCCACAAGTAGGGTGGCCGGGGCCATTTTGCTTTGCCCATTGGTCGTTTGTAATATGTTTATATCACAATCTGTCTCCCACTCAGACATCCTTGCATCTATAAGAAGAGCCTATTTTTCATTTTACTTTATACACTACATTTTTAATCACAGGAGTTAGCAAACTTGTCAGGTAGGCCGAATTCAGCCTGCAACTTGTTTTTGTATGGCCCACCAGCTAAAAATGGATTTTACCTTTCTAAGGATTCAAAGAAAGAAAGAGAAATAAATAAATAAGCAAACAAACAAATAAACCAATGAGGCAATAGACTGCATGTGACCTGGGAAGCTTAAAATATTTACTGGGTGGCCCCTTACAGAAGAAGTTTTTGGCCCCTTGTCCTACTGCAATGTAGAAAACTCTGGAGCGCCTGGGTGGCTCAGTCGTTAACTGTCTGCCTTTGGCTCAGGTCATGATCCCAGGGTCCTGAGATTGAGCCCCGCATTGGGCTCCCAGCTCCACGGGGAGCCTGCTTCTCCATCTCCCACTCCCCCTGCTTGTGTTCCCTCTCTCGCTGTGTCTCTGTCAAATAAATAATTAAATCTTAAAAAAAAAAAATGTAGAAAACTCATACCAAAAACTTACTTTCACAATACTTGACAGAGTAAATAGTTTACTTCCAGAAATCAATCAACACATATAATACATTGAGAAGTATTTATTCATGAAAAACACTGAACTCTGGATAAGGAAAGTGGGAATCTGGAGCATGATTGCCTGGAGTTGCTCTCACCCTTCCAATCTCCCAGCTTGGGTATTATGGTAGTTATACTAGGTCAGGTCATAAAACCATCAGTTCTGTTGCTGCTACAGGGACAGTCACCTGATTTGAGTGGAAGGTGAAAAACCAATGCTGGGTGGAACTGTCAATAAATGTGATCTAGGTGGTAAGCGAACAGGGAAGGCCACCAGTGACTGCTATCTGAGGTTGCAGTCTTTCTTGGTTGGGACCAAAAGAAGAAGAACAAGAAGAAGAAGAAAAAAGACTGGTAGACCATCCAGAAATGCAGCAGGGGAAAACCTGAAAGTAAGAGAGCCAGGGAGGGGCTTGATAAACTCTCCACACAGCCCTGGCTGACTGGAAGGCTGTTTGCAAAAGCAGGGGGGATGGCTGGGGCCCAAGCTATGCACATAACCCTGCCTGACACAGAGACTATAACCAGGTACAGAGGAAAAATTAGAGGGATCAGTGGAAAGTAAAAAGCCAGACAAGACTTGGAAACTATCTGAACTTTGAATGAGCTCCCAACCCACCCATTTATCCACTGGCAGAGGCAGGGAGCCTTACTGGTTCAAAGTCTTTGAACACAACCTATTGCCAATTGTTGCAGATCACTAAGCCCTGCAGACATAAGGCTGAAATCAGGAAGCCAGGATTAAAAATAAACACAAGAATACAATAACAAATCAAGTGGAAACATCACCTTCACAGAGAAAACTTTTTCCACATATTTAGTCTAGAAAAGTTACTAAAACTGGCAACAACAATATCTAGGCAGGAAACATCATCAGCTCTCAGAGGGGCTAAAACATACTAAAATATCCAGTTTCCAAAGAAACAGGAAAAGAGTGACCCATACTGAGGAAAAAATGCAGACAACAGAAACTGTTGCTCGGTGGCCCAGATGTTGATTTACAGGGGGAAAGAAAGAGTTCAAAGCTGATATTATGAATATATTTAAAGAACTAAAGGAAACAACATGTAAAAACTTAAAGTATGGTAACTTAAGAAATAGAAAAATCTCAATAAAGAATAAAAATTACTAGGGGCGCCTGGGTGGCTCAGTCATTAAGTGTCTGCCTTCGGCTCAGGTCATGATCCCAGGGTCCTAGGATCGAGCCCCGCATCAGGCTCCCTGCATAGTGGGGAGCCTGCTTCTCCCTCTCCCTCTGCCTACCCCCTCCTCATGTTCTCTCTCTCTCTCAAATAAATAAATAAAAATCTTAAAAAAAAAAAAAGAATAAAAATTACTAAAAAGAAATAAAAGGAAACTCTGGAATTAAAAAGTAAATTAACTGAAATGACAAAATTACTAGGAAGATACAACAGCATATTTGGACTTGCAACAGAAACAATGAAGTTGAAGATAAATCAACAGAAATTACCTAAACTGAAAAACCAGATGAAAGAAAGATCGAAGTAAAGCAAAGAGCCCCAGAAACCTGTGGGACACCATCGGATAAAACAATCTATGCGTAATGGGAACGCATGAAAGAGAAGACAGAGAAAAGAGCAGAAAAAAAATGTCTGAAGAAATAATAACTAAAAAGTCTGAAATTTGTTGAAAAACATTAGTCTATAAATCCAAGAAGCTCAACAAACTGCAAGAAAACATAAAACATAAAGAGGGTGCCTGGGTGGCTCAGTTGGTTAAGCATCTGCTTCCAGCTCAGGTCATGAACCCAGTGTCTTGGGATCGAGTCCCGCATCGGGCTCCCTGCTCAGTGGGGGGTCTGCTTCTCCCTCTGCCTCTGCCTCTCTCACCACTTGTGCTTGTGCGCAGTGCACTCTCTCTCTCAAATAAAACCTTAAAAAAAATTTTTTTTTAAATCTTTAAAAAAATACTCCAGGGGTGCCTGGGTGGCTCAGTTGGTTGAGCATCTGCCTTCAGCTCGGGTCATAATCCAGGCGTCCTGGAATGGAGCCCCACATCAGGCTTCCTGCCTAGTGGGGAGTCTGCTTCTCCCTCTCTTTTTGCCCCTCCCCCCTCTTGTGTTTTCTCTCTCTCAAATAAAATCTTAAAAAAAAAAAAGAAAGAAAAACATAAAGAGAGACACATCATAGCCAAACTGTTGACTATCAGAAAAAAAGACAAAAGAGAACATCTTGAAAGCAGCAAAAGGAAAATGATTCAACATGCACAGGAGGAAACAATATGGTTAGTGCTAACTTCTCATCAGACAATGGAGTATGGAATGATTTATTCAAGGTGCTGAAATAAAGGTGAAAAGGCTACTAAGGAAGAATTCTATTCTCACGAAACTATCCTTCAGAAATGAAATTGATACAGATATTCACAGATTCACAAGTACTCAGAGAGTATCTGTTGCTAGCAAACACGCCTTATAGGAAATACTAAATAAGTCTGTCAGGCTGAAAAAAATGACACCAGACATTAACTCAAATCCACAGGAACAAATGAGGACCACCAAAACTGGTAAGTATGTGGGTAAATATAAAAGACTACATATGTATATTTTTCTCCATTCTTCTCTTAATTTCTCTGAAATGCGTAAGATTATTATAAAAGGTGGTAACTGTAAATTATGTAGATTATGTTAAATTAGATGCATTTTTAATGCCTAGAGCTGAATTAAGAAAATAACTACAAAAATTATATATATAATAAATAATAATAATTATTATTACTATTATATACACACACACCCAAAAGGTAGGGGAATAAAAAACATGAAGCACATAAAAAATAAGTAGCAAAATGGCAGACTTAAACCATATCAATAATTATTTAAATATGAGCAAACCAAACATTCTAAACAAAAGACAAAAAGGTTTTAGTTACACCACCAAAAGCACAATCCATTTAAAATTTTGTTAAGTTGGACATCACCAAAGTTTAAAACTTTTATGCTTGAAAAGACACCATGAAGAGAATGAAGACAAGCTGCAGACTTGTCCTTTTTCTGTAACTTGACTTTATAGAGTTGAAAGTATGTGAAAACCATGTATCTGATATAGGACTGTATCTAGAGTATATGGAAAACTCTTATAACTCAAAAAGAAGACAAAACAATCCAATTTAAAAATGGACAAAAGAACTGAATAGCTATTTTGTTAAAGAAGATATGCAAAGGGTTACTAAGCACGTAAAAAGATCAACATAGGGCGCCTGGGTGGCTCAGTTGGTTAAGTGTCTGCCTTCAGCTCAGGTCATGATCTTGGGGTCCTGGGATTGAGTCCCGCATAGGGCTCCCTGCTCAGCAGAGAGTCTGCTTCTCCCTCTGCCCCGCCCCCCACTCATGCTCTCTCTCTCTAATAAATAAGTAAAATCTTTAAAAAAGAAAAAGATCAACATCATCAGTCACTAGGGAAATGCAAATTAAAACCACAGTGAAATACCACTACACACCCCACTAGAATGTCTGTAATCAAAATTAGAGACAATTCTAAGTGCTAACAAGGATGTAGAGAAACACACTGCTAATAGAAAATGTAGAAATAGAAAACAGAAATGTAAAATAGAAATACTAATAGAAATGTACAGCCACTTCGGAAAATAATTTTGCAGTTTCTTAAAAAGTTAAATGTAAACATGTCATACAATCCAGAAATTTTACACCTACTTATTGACCCCCAAATGAAAATGTATGCCCACAGTAAGACTGGTACATGATTGTTCTTAGCAGCACTATTCACAATAGCCAAAAAGTAGATACAACCCATATATCCCATCAGTCTCTGAATGGGTAAACAAAATGTGCTATGTCCATACAATGGAATATTATATGGCAATAAAAAGGAATGGATTACTAGGCCACCTAGGTGGCTCCGTCGGTTAAGCTTCCCACTCTTGATTTCAGCTCAGTTCATGATCTCAAGGTCATGGGATTGGCTCTGCCTCTGCTGAGCACAGAGCCTGCTTGGGATTCTCTCTCTCCCTCTCCCTCCCCCGCAACACATGTGCACACTCAAAAAATAATCCAATCAAGAAATGGGCAGAAGACATGAACATTTTTCCAAAGAAGACATCCAAATGGCCAAAAGACACATGAAAAAGTGCTCAACCTCACTCGGCATCAGGGAAATCCAAATCAAAACCTCAATGAGATACCACCTCACACCAGTCACAATGGCTAAAATTAACAAGTCAGGAAATGACAGATGTTGGCAGGGATGCGGAGAAAGGGGAACCCTTCTACACTGTTGGTGGGAATGCAAGCTGGTGCAGCAACTCTGGAAAACAGTATGGA